TTGTTTTCCCTTTCTTAAATGATACTTATAACTGTTTCCATTTAATATGCTCTACATACATTGAATGTATTATATTTAATGAGTGGGTTACATAAATGTAGCATAATTTAACCTGCAATGTATTGGTGGGTATTTGTTTATTCCACTTGTATAATATAATTAAAAACGTTCACCCATTTATTGTATTTTTCCTTAAAATAAATTTTTTTTAGTAAGAAAATTAGAATTAAATACATTTCCTAGGAATTTCTGGGCAGTCAGTATGGTGTATTAGAATGGAGTTAGAAGACTGACTTGAATCTTGGTTAATCATATAACAGCTGTGTGATCTCTCACATTAAACATACTCTTCTTTCAACAGTGATCCAAACCTTGCTGAGTTTTAGCTATAAACTTTTCACAATCTTAATTTCCCAAACCCAAAGCTCCCTTAGCATTATGTTCAGCATTGTGTTTAGACTAACAAATAAAATACACATACTATTCAGTTAATTAAATTAACTTCCATTGTGGAAGCACTTTATCATATGTACTCCTAGTTACGAAAGGGATAATTAAACTAGGGGGATTTGAAAAGTTCTTGGGAAAATCCCATTACCTTTTATTTTCATTTTTCAATGAACTTTTGAAGCTCCCTCGCATATCAGATAGTGTTTTTTAATTATTTATACAATAAAACCTGTAAAAGCAGGAAACTGCAAGGAATAAACCCTCAGAGAAAGAAAACTCACATATTTTCCACTAATAGCATAGAAAAATGATAAGACTGCATTTGTCAGACATGATAAAGGCTGAGATCTGTAAAAACAGGGTAGTACCATTGAGTTCTGGTTTTCACAATTTCATATAACAGTAAAAGTAGAACACATAATGGAAGCATTAGAAAAAATAGGTATATGAGACTTCCCAAAGTTCATGAAAAAATAAAATTAAAGAATTTTTAAAAGGCACTTTATTTTGCAACGTAAGTTACTTTGTGGTTTTGAAAGCAGTGATAACGAGTTCATTCCTATAGAACTGAGCCCTGGAATTTTAACCATGGCAGTACAGTCTTTTCTTTGTTTTTTACATCATTGATTGATGAAAATTTGGGTGTTCTTTATAGATATTTTAAGGTTAGGAAACAAGAAGAAGTAGTAAAGAACGAAGTCAGGACTGTAAGATAGATGCCTGGTTATTTCCCATAGAAATTCTTACCCAGTTGGCCTGGTTTGATGAGAAGAATGAGTCAGGAGCATAGTGCTGGTGCAGAGTTCTCTCTTGTGACGCTTTCTGGGACTTTATCTGCTAAAACTATAGGTGAATTGAGTGGCATCCTGGAACATAATCAGAGGTTTCAAACAAGCATAAACAAAGGAATGAAGTGGGCAATGAATAGGTCAGGACTTTTGTTGTTAAGATACTTTTTTTGGGTGTTTGTTCCAAGTTACTTGGAACAGAAAGATTAAAGTAACCAATAAAGTTACGTAAAAGGGATCAGGTTAACTCCTCGAGTTTAAAGTTTAGGAGTTTTATTTAATTTCTGCCTATTTAATTGTAGGCTGTTTAAGAATCGCAATTTCTGACATGATGTTAATAGGTGATAGCTTTTGCAGCAGACTTACCCAGTGCTAAACATAATTTGATTTCTTGGCTGTTGTTTTCATAGATGCTGATTGTGGATCCATGTAAAATGAATTGTTAAAAACTTTATTTTTTCCCTCTGTTTATCATGATGTTGCTCCTTGGTCTAGTGGGAATTTTTATTTTCTTCATGTTGAGATACTGAAGGTTGTAGTACTTAATCTTCATCTGCAATGCTTCAAGTCTTCTTGATACAAGCAAGTTTGTATCAATAGTCTTCCTCCGATCCTGATTGCTTATTCTTCTTCATGTAGTTCAGCTTCTCAGATTTTTTGCTTAGCATACCAATTTAAAAAGTATTGTCAAAGGATACAGCTCTGACACAGACCTTTCCATTTTAAACCACACAGTGTCCCCTTGTTCTATTTAGATGACTACCTCTTGGTCCTATTGTTCTATGTACGTGAGTCCAGATAAAGAGTTCTGGACCTTTCATTATTTATCGTGCTGTCTGTGATTTGTTATTTTCCACAAAGTCACATCCCTTCGCATTGTTGAGGAAATGGCTAGGAGCTGTACCTGATCTCATCTTGCTTTTCTAGTAGAAAGGAAAATCTAACTCCGCATCGTCCAAGGATGATTCTTACGGGGCAGCGGTCAGATGCGCCTCTACTTTTATTCTTCTTTATCCTATTTTGACACCAACAGTCTCTTGTATGACACTATATGGCTGTACTGGGTTGGCTTATCGGTGACAACCGCTACACAGAACTCACAGACAATACTAAGGGCTATGGGAGTTTTTTGAGGGAAGTTAGCAGGATCAGCAACATGTCAGCAGCCACTTCTCTCTGATCCTAAGCTTTTCAGCCATGTGACCTCTTGGACTCTGCCTTGATATTTGGGCTGTAAAGCACTGTGCTCTGTCTCATGGTCTTGGTATAGCTCCTTTGTTCTCATGGGCTCAGTGCTGCAGCGACTGCTGCCTAATCAGCACCTGAGGCAGGATCTCAAACTGGCTCTGCTAGTGGCTTTTCTCTCACAGGATTCCTCTGTTCCTGTTTCTGAGATGACTCACTATTATACCCAGTGGACTGGCAGAACTGACTCCGTCATTAAATGCTTATTTGCATCTCCCCATCCAGTCACTGCAGAGGAGTTACAAAGACTGGCTAGGAGAGCCATATCAAGCAATTTCACTTCACCACAATTGTCAATAACAAGGTTCTGGTATTCATTGTTCCATCTGAGATCTAAGATTGTGAGATTGTCATACATATGTTGCTGTGATGGTGCAAGCTGTGCTACCAGGATTTCAAATACCAAGAGGCTCATCCATGGTGGACAGGTTTAGCAGAGCATTCAGAGTAAGGTAAACTAAGAAGGACCTGGTGACCTGCTTCTGAAAACAATGGAACACTTTAGTGGAGGGCAGTAGAACATTTTGCCCATAGATTTCAATATTTCAAATTTGATGCATTATTTTTTCTTCCATTATTTCAGCTCAATAACTACTAAGGCACATCCTTGCCTTTTCGTATTCTATCTCTAGTTCTTAGTACATTTCATTTTGATAATTCAGTTTGTCTTCTCAAGCTGCGCTTTATAGTATTCTGTTAAACTCTTTTACTGTGTCATTTCTTGTATTTACTTTAGCTATTTTATTCTACATTCAAGAATAAGTTTGAGTCTCTTGTGACATCCACTTTAATCCTTCCTCCCTCCCTCCTTCTTCCCCTCCCTCCTTCCTGTTTCTTTAATGGCCTCTTAGTTTCATCATGTATCCATTATGCCATCCCGCACCTTGTCTAGTTTTTGGTCATTAGTGTTCATTCCATCAAATTCATTTTTGAAGACCATTAAAATCTTTAGCTTCTTCATCTTTGGTGTTAGTTCCTGGAACGTAAATGTTGTAGTAGTAGTAATAGTAGCTGACCTGTTGGTAGACAGATTTAAATTATTGTCTGTATTGTTATATATTTTCATTCTTTGGGATATAATTATTTTATCACTGAGTGTTGTACTTCAGGATTAATCTTGAAATGTTCTTTTTGACAATGAATGTGATGTGTTTCTCTTCACTTTGTTATTTCCAACATAATAGACCATATTATTTTATCTTACTCAAAATGTCCTGTGCATCGCTTATTTCAGCCTTCTAATGGCTTGGATATTGCTCTGCGATCCTTCCATTTCATTCTTGATGGCTTCAGTATTACACCCATCTACTAATGCCTAAGATAACGCCCTTCAGCATTCCATTGTGATGACTTCCAATATTCTTAGATTCATATTTCATACATTCCACATTTCAATTACGAATAGATGTTTGCTACTGTTTCTTCTCATTTTGGGTCAGGCCATGTCAGCAAATGAAACTCTGAACAGGTTTACTCCATCCATATTCAGGCTGATTCTACTTTGAATAGGCAATTCTTTCCCACTTCTATTTTGAGTGCCATCCAACCGGAAGGCTTTTACTGGCCCATTGCTTGAGAAATAGATTAGCAAGGTCTTCCTAATCTATTTTAGCCTGGAAGCTCTGCTGAAATCTATAATATATGAATGACCCTATTGGCTTTTGAAATACTGGTGGCACAGCTTCAGCATCACAATAACATAGAAGCCACCACAGTAGTACAGACTGACAGATAAGTGATAGAAGATACTAGTGTTATTTATATTATTAAATTTAGCAGTATTGCTTTAGGCAGATTTCATTGACTTGGTGGCTCTTAAATATTTTTAAAAATTTCTGCTCTTCAAAGAACACTGTGAAGTCTATCCTATAAATATAAGTTCTTTGATTTGAAAAATTTGGATATGAGACATTAATGCCTATAAAGTAGAAAACTTGGTCCAAAAACGCCTCTTATTTTAGTTAATATTCTACCTTCTTTTAAATAGCACAATTCTTTCACATTTTATAATATGGCTGTTTGATTTAAAAGATTGAATTTTATATGCAACATTGAAGATATTAAAAGTTTTTGATTGAGAATTATATCAGTTCATTTTTTGCCACTTCAAGTTTATAGATGCAAATTGGAAAAAAAGTCAAAGACTTCTGAAGTTTTCTTCCAGTACTAAAAATATGTACTTTTAACAACCATATTTAATTAGTTCATAAAAATGAGTTTTTAAAAATGTGGTTTGAAATAAGTTTTTGCTAATGTGTCAGGTTTTTTAGAAAGTGGCAAAGGATTGTGATTATGTTGTTATTCCTAGAATAATTACTGGTAATAATATGTTATCTTTTTTAATATGAGAATGTTTTGAAGGGATCCTTCTACTCCTAAATGGTTTTCTTTATAACAGGAGCCCTGGTGATGTGTTGTAATGGTTGCATTCACTGAATATTTGTAGTGGTGTTTTGAAAATGATAGTCTGAACTATGATTCAATTGCGCTAATGCTGTTTATATTATCTTTGAATAGTTGGAATGGATAATGGAAGAGAAGCAATTGAAAGTGGGGCCGCATTTCTCTTCAAGACATTTTATTTGACGAACTTGGTTGGCCACAGAGAGACAAAGGCAATCAAACAGATGTTTGGTCCTTTTCCGCCGTCATCTGCCACCGCAGCTTGTGATGCCACTAGTCGAATTACTTCTCATTTTAGTGAAGATGATCTTTCTGATCTTCTCCGGAAGACAGAGGAGGAAAATGAAAATCGAGTTTTATTCGGTAAAAACATAGTATTTTCATTTGATATGCATGACTTGGACCACTCTGATGAACTTCCAATCAATGGTGATAACCAGAAAATGATAAGCCTAGATTACCAGAAGTTCCTGGATGAACGTTTTCAGGAGCATTGTACCCCAGAGGTCAAGCCTGTGGAAAAGACAAATGGTTCCTTTCTGTGGTGTGAAGTTGAGAAGTACTTAAATGCAACTTTAAAAGGAATGACCGACGCACCGAGAGTAGAAGATCTTTGCTGCACTTTATATGATATGCTTTCTTCTGTTAAAAGTGGTGATGAACTTCAGAATGAGGTATAGTTGACGATGTTGAAGCTTCATATTAATGTCTGTGTTTATATTAATGAAATAATCATTTTATATGGGTGGCTAATCAAGAAAATACTCCTCTGATATTAGACAGTAGTCATAAAGGTGGCTAAGTGGTTTTACATAAGCAGGCATGACGATATGTTTTGTCTTAGTAGTTGTAGGAGAACTATGGGTGTATTAAGGAGCCCGAGTGGATTAAACATTGGATTGCCAACTTCAAGGTCAGTGGTTCAAACCCATCAATTGCTCCATGGGAGAAAGGTCAGACTTTTGCTCCCGTGAAGATTGACAGCTGGGAAATCTTAAGGATCAGTTGTACTCTTTTCTTATATGTATCATGTACTGTGTCATTATATTTATAGAAAAATATGATTTAGGAAATCATGAGGAAGAAGAAATACATTTATATTACTGGACCTATCATAGATACTGTAAAGTTATGTCTTACAAGATGAATTGTTTTCCTATTCAGTAGGCTGAGAAAGAGGTCAGTGAGGAAAGGTTGGCTTCAGTGGCAGAATCATAAGAGGTGGAGGGGCTGGAAGGGGAGGTAGAAAAGGCAGACACTTGGGATAACCCTACGGAAATACCTTGTAGTTTCTGTCATAATTTTAGCTTTTTCATTTCTCTAAAAATGTTTGCATATGATACTGATCCATCTTTTACCATCAGCATTAGTTTTAGTGTGCTAAGAAGAATCCAGTAGATTGAAAAAAATCTATGATGTATATAATAGGAGTAATTCAGACTAGTGCAGTTCAAATCTGTGGTGTGTTTAGGTCAAATATATTGCTATACAAAGTGATGGATTAACTCACTATCACATGAAAAGAGTTTTACTTTTGCCTTCAATACTGGCATCCTATTTCTTTCTAATAGATAATTTACAATGCTGTCAACTCAATGTGAAGACTGGACAAAGTTGATGAGTACCGTATTTGATGAATGTTTGAGTGAGGTGGCACTTTGGACAGAGATTTTGAAATCAGAGTCCTTTCCTTGCCACTTTCTGGCTGTGTGGTTTTAAATAAGACAATTGCCCAAATGCTTAGTTTCTTGTTTGGAATGTATCAGATAAAAATACTAAGATCACAGAATTTACATAAGCACTTAATGAGCTTTCACATGTAAAATGGCAAGTAGCACTTGATGAACATTCAGTAGCCCTAAGTACTTTTGTTATTATTCTTAGAATTAAGAATCTTTAAATTACATGGAGTATCAGGGATTTAGAAAACATTCGTTGTTGTTTTATTTTCTTTAAGTGAGAAATTAATTTTAGGAAATAATGGTAGTGATAGGTATTATACTGATTAGATTGGTAGTAAGATATTATTAATCTGTGATCAGTTTTATTTATTGTGAATGTTTTCACTCTTATATCAGACCTGATATATATTCTGAAATGGGTTTTCTTAAACCATATGAAAATAATATTGCATTAAAAATTGTGATTTATAAAAATCATCCTGGTTCTTATCATAATTGAGTAGATAGCATTTTTAATATTTTGATTACATTAAGTCAAAAGTTATAAATATTGAGCTAATGGAAATTGTATTTCTTGAGTGAGCCATAAAATTATTCTTTTTACTTTTGAATATTTGTGGGAAAGGTTGCATTTTTTGATTCCTCACATTTTTAAGTAGACAACCAATATGACTGTTGTAGGGAGAATGTTTTCTAGTTCTCAGGGTTTCTTCATAACTTTTATTGCAAGGTCAAAATGAACTCATGTGTTTACCCTTTCATCATATTTTTTGTATACTTAACTGTGTACTAGGTATGGACAAAAATGAATGACTAAGCAATTTTGTTCCTAGGGAATTGTCTATTAGCAGGAAGAGTCATAGGTACTATGACACTATATCCAGGGAAAATGGAGACTTAAAGTAAGTCACAGATTTTATGGAGGAGCTGGTCCGTAGTTAAGGTATTCGTGGAGATGATTTAGCTCAAGTCAAGTCTTGAAATGTGACTTCTTCAACAAATGTAGGGGGCATATTTCAGCCACGTGAATATTGTCAATTTAGAGCATACATCAAGAAAGAGTGCAGCATACAAGGAGGTGTAGTGAGGGACACCGGTGATGACCATTTAGACGGGCCAAATCATGTAAGGCTAAGTACATGTTAAGTTTATAGATATACCCTATGCAGTTTTATTCAGTGATATTTCAAAGTTTCATTGACAGTTTAAAATACAAATGAATAGTTGTACAGTATAGATTATTCATGTTTTATATATTTGATCTGCTTCTGTGCATTTATATTGTTAAAACAAATTTCCCATGTGATTTTTAAGTACTGAAATATGTGACTGTAACAAACTGTCTAAATTCACAAGGGATAATTTTAGATCAGCAGAAGAGTAGAGTTGCTTTCTGTGAGGTAGAGATCAAGTGTATCGCTGCCTTCCCACTTTTGCATTATTTTTGACACCAGTTGCAACCCCATAGTGTTTTTTGAGGGTTTGGATATTCATTGCAGTGGCCACACAGTACTCACAGACCGTGGCATATTGGGGAAGTGGCAGGCTACCACATGGGATCAGGATCAAGATCGGGAATCGCAGGTAATATCTAGAAGGATCCCTGCAGTGGAGAGCATGACTTCCCATTCTTCAGTGAAAGACAGTTTTAGCCGCTTGATTACCTTCAAGCCTTTAAGACCCCAGACGCTATACTTTTTGATAGCCGGGCACCATCAGCTTTCTTCGCC